GAGCTCCCCGCCATCCCTCACCCGCTGCCTTCCTTCCCTCGCCGCCTTATCAAAGCCACACTCTGGGTGGCCTGAGCCACAGAAATCTGCTGTCCCACAGTCTTCAGGCGGGAGTGCGAGGTGCGGTGCCAGCAGTGCTGGTTCCTTCCAGCCCCTCTCCAGCTCCCGGTGGTGCTCCCGGTCCTACTGCTTCACCCCATCTCTGCCTCCACGTTCATTCCCCGGGATGTCTGCATGTGTGTCCCCTTTTTCATAGGAGCACCAGGCAAGTTGGATTAGGGTCCACCCTGCTCCAGTAGGACCTCGTCTTCACTAATCACGTCTGCAAAGACCCTCCTTCCAAACGAGGTCACGTCTGGCACTCAGGGCAGGTGGTGGGGGTTAGGACTTCAATGCATGAATTTGGGGGGAGCAGTTAAAGCCATAACACCGGCCTCTGGCCAGAGATCTTGGGCAGCTGAACTTGGGAGCAGACCGAGGGCAGCTGAATGCTCCGTGGACCAACCCAGGCTGGGCTTCCAGGAACACCTGGAAAAGCCTGGACTTGCCCTCCCCTGTTTCACACCCACTTTGCAAATGAGGCTGCTCTCGGACACCTGGGAGTGCAAGACAAACATTTATCTGTTTCCCTCTGGGGAATTTCACCACCATGAATGAATTACCCGGTGTCACTTCCCAAGATGCAGTCACTTGCTCCCGGCCGGGGGACCCCCACTTTGGTTCTGGCAGGGATGAAGGTGAACCGGGTTGGCTGCTCCCCCCGTCCAGTGGCCACTGACACCTGGAGGAGCACCGGGGGTGACTGAGGGGTGATGGACAGGAAGGTAGAGGTCAAAGGATGAAGGATGCTGTGGCCAGGGGTCCAGGTGTACATTTGACTACGATCAGTGGACCCCTGCCTGGTCCAAAAGGCCTCCCCCTCAAGGTCTCTGCCACACACGGCCCGTACGTCTGGCCCCAGCTGATGCGTATATGGGGGGAAATGCCAGCTTGTGTACCCAAAAGTTGCAGGTAGGAGAATTAAGAGCGCCAAGGCCACCTGTCTTTTGGCAGGTGTACTCGTCTCCTGGGGAGGTTGTCCAAAGTGTCACAGGCTGGGGGATCAGCAGCACGGGAGCTGATTCTCTCAGCGCCCTGGAGGCCAGAAGCCCAGACTCCAGGCGTTAGCAGAGCTGTTTCCTCCCTCAGCCGGGAAGGAGCATCCGTTCCGGGCTTTTTCCCTGGCCTCTGCTGGTTGCCAGCAGTCCCGGACATTTCTTGGCCCTTCACTCTGATCTCTGCCTCTCCCTGTGCATCTCTGTGCCCCTGTTTTCCTGTTTTTATAAGGACACCAGTCATTGGATTAGGGCCCACCCTACTCCAGCGTGGCCTCATCTCAAGCCAATGACGTCCGCAGAGACCCCTTTTCCAAAGAAGGTCACTATCACCGTCAGGGTTAGGTCTGCAATGTGGGGGACACGGGTCTGCCCACTGCAGCAAGAAAGTAGTCGCCTTGGAGGGAGGAATCCCTGTCTCGGTGTGTTTGCTTTGGAGAAAATCTTTTTCCTTGCAAGTGATTTTTAGAGGCATTTGTTTAACTGGACTTCCGGGAAAACCATCAAGAGGTGGACAGAATGTAGCACATCACAGGCCTGACCGGTGGGGGGGCATCGGGCTTCGGAGCGGTTGGACCCAGTTCTGTCTCTTCCCCCTCCTTCTCTGGCTCAGCGTTTGCCTGTTTGACTTTAGGCTCAGGCAAAGCTCTTGCATATGGTGGCTCCTAGAAGCTCTGGCCTTGCAGTTTCACAGCAGAGAATCTCAGAGTAAAGACGGTGTCCTGACACTTTCAGAGCAAGTCCCTCCGTGGACCCCCTCTTGGCCAGCTTACGTCACAAGCCGAACATAAGCCGTCTGTCACCTGCAGGATATGACGGCGCAGGGCTTGACCTCAGGCGCCTCCCTCCACCCCCAGGGCCTAGAGAGAGGGCAGTGCACACTTGAACCCCGGGGACGCAGAAGGAGAAGGGACGGACTTCAGAGGGAACATCAGCACACTTTGGCCATAAGAATGGATGTCGGTCCTGCAGGGAAATCCATCCCACGGCTCCCTCACGTTGCCTCCCCCTGACTTCCCCACCTCCCCCGGTCCCAATTCCACTCCCGTGAACTGTGCTTTCTGGACATTGGAGAAGACTCTGGAGCCGCACATACGGGGCCCCAGAACATGGAGGGCCGTGCTGCGGAGGGGAGGCCAGGCCACCCGGGTGGGTCCGCCATCACTCGCTGGCTGGGGCCATCACTCCCTCTTTCCAGAACAGACTTTGAATCTCTCTCAGCTGTTTTCCCCTGATGTTTAGTCGGGTTGGATCGGCCATTTATGCTAAAGGACTCGAAGCACTATGGCCCACGTTTGCTTTATGACTTTAGAAGCCTCCGTCTCGCTCCCTTCTGCTCCGCCTGCCTCCAGAGCATGTTCATGGCTCTTAGAAGAATCCACTAAGCAGACGGTCAATGTTTGCTAAATGAAAATTAACAGGGTGACCTTTTAAAAGCATAATTCAAATCATGTCAACTCCCGGCTTAAAACCCGCTCAGAGGTGCCCGTAAATCCTAGGGTGAGACCTGGACCCCGTCCCATGGCCCAGGGTCCGGAGTGACGCCACCGCCGCCCGTCACCCCGCCCACCTCATTTCCACCACTGCCCCTCGTGCTCCCTGGACCCCAGCCTCACTGGTTTCCTCCTCTCTGTTCTTCTAACCAGACAAGCTCATCCCCACCTCCGAGCTTTCGCCCTTGTGGCCTCTCCTTTCTGGGACTCTGTTCCTCCGTATGGTCACGGGTTTGACTTCTCCTCATCACTCAGGTCTCAGCTCATCCGTCTCCTCCTCAGGGAGGCTGTCTCTGGCCGCTGCCGGGAAGCCACACAGCCCCTCTTATTCCAGTCCCTCCCACTCCTATCACCCCGTCGTGTGTTCTTCGTGGCTCCTAGAGAGCTCTGGAGTCGTCCTTTCTAAGGAGTTGCTTTCTTGTTTCTTGTGAGCCTTCCCTAGTGGAATATGAGTTCCAGAAGAGTAAGGACCCAGCCTGACCTCTCCTCTGCTGTCTGCCCCTTGACTAGGACCATGCCTAGCAAGGGTCAGAGATCAATAAACTTTTCTTTGGATGGATGGATGGTTGAGTGGCTGGATGTTTGGATGAATGGACAGATGAATATATGGATGATTAGATGCTTGGATGGATGGATGAACTTTTTTTGGATGGATGGATGGTTGAGTGGCTGGAGGTTTGGATGGATAGACAGATGGATATATGAATGATTAGATGATTGAAAACATGGACAAATGTTTGGATGGGTGCATGGATGTTTGGATGGGTGGATGGATGGGCAGAC